AAAGGAGAAGAGAGGAGAGGACAGAAGAGGAGAGAATAAATGCAAGAAGGACGGTTTTAACCTTTATGGAAAGTTTCACACAACACCATCACTGTAGCATGATGTACTACAGTACCCATTAAGCCAAAATACGACCAAACGTGAAGGCAATTATTTTGTAAAGACTTCCATATTTCATTGAAACCAGTAGCCTATTTCTTTCATGTTCTATTGGTTTTAAAATCCACTTTCTTTCATTGTCCAGTAGCCAAAAGGCACAATTCTAGTGATATTAGCAACCCATGCTAGTTGTACATTTCTAAAGGATATTTTCATCACTGTCTCATGAAACCAGCGGTACGCTTTTGACAACAGTGTTTTCCTGCTAACTGCATTATGGAACGAACATTCACTCTTAGCCTACTGCCTTGTGCATTGCTGCACTTATAATGTGAAGACATAATAGTTTATCAACATTTTAAGCTAAACGTTCTGATCTGCTGCATCAGCATCATTGCTTTTTATAATTTTTTGATGTAGCCTAGGCCTACTGGTTGTATGAATTTGGGATCTATCATCCCACAAATGTCCCAGAGTTTGTTTGGAATAGGCTATTTATTTCACGCACAGAACAAGAAGCTGACCAATAGAAATGGTAAATTCGTGCTGTGGGGATGTTTTTCATCGGCAGGGACTGGGAAACTGGTCAGAATGGAAGGAATGATGGATGGCGCTAAATACAGGGAAATTCTTGAGAGAAACCTGTTTCAGTCTTCCAGAGATTTGAGACTGGGACGGAGGTTCACCTTCCAGCAGGACAATGACCCTAAGCATACTGCTAAAGCAACACTTGAGTGGTTTAAGGGGAAACATTTAAATGTCTTGGAATGGCCTATTGAGAATCTGTGGTATGACTTAAAGATTGCTGTACACCAGCGGAACCCATCCAACTTGAAGGAGCTGGAACAGTTTTGCCTTGAAGAATGGGCAAAAATCCCAGTGGCAAGATATGCCAACCTTATAGAGACATACCCCAAGAGACTTGCAGCTGTAATTGTTGCAAAAGGTGCCTCTACAAAGTATTGACTTTGGGGGGGTGAATAGTTATGCACGCTCAAGTTTTCTGTTTTTGTGTCTTATTTCTTGTTTGTTTCTTCAAAGTGGTAGGCATGTTGTGTAAATCAAATGATACAAAAAATCTATTTTATTTCCAGGTTGTAAGGCAACAAAATAGGAAAAATGCCAAGGAGCGTGAATACTTTCGCAAGCCACTGTACACATACACTAAATGACCAAAAGTATGTGGACACCTGCTCGTCGAACATACTACTAGATGTCTGCCAGTGCATCTTGTTTCAAATCCACCATGTTAACTGTGATACGATATGAGTTTATTGACCGCCACACACATTAGGGGCCCGGCCAGAATGCACGCACGCACGCATGAACACACGCACGCACGCACACACACACACACACACACACACACACACACACACACACACACACACACACACACACACACACAGGGGCCGGCTAGGACACGCACGCACGCATGCGCATGCACACACACACACACACACAGAGAGACTTAATCTTGGCAGGCTGCCCTGTCCACTGGTCCGCTACTGTATTACAAAGCAGATCGTTCAATGGCAAGGCTCAAGGTCCCGATAGCCCAGAACAACCCGACTGCTCATAAACAGACAATCCCCAATCCCAACCACCGCTCTGCTCTCTCTCCAAAATTCACATCAATCACGTTTAAAGGGTCTGGTATTGGAGAGCAGCCATCTCTTTCTGAGAAAAACTGTGACGGCATGTTCATGGCTCAAAACCACCCATCGGGTTAATCACTGTGAATTCCAGAAACTGCTTGAATCTCAAGGACAAAATACCTTTGGGATCACATCGGTGTGTCCATCATTTGAAGTGTTTTCTCTTTCTCACTTTTTTTCTGTCTTTCTGCTTCTGTCTCTCTATCTAGCTTTCTGTGGATGCATCCACAGGCCATCACTATTCTTCAATCTCCAGCATGTCTCCTGCGCCGAGAGAGGGAAGGAGAGGAGGAGAGAGTATGAGAGAGAACAAATTGGCGAGAGTGACTTTAATCCCCTCACTCTGAGGTTCTGCGTGGATGACCTTAACAGCAGTAGTGTAAACTGCAGGGGATGGCTCAGCCTTGTCCCTGGACACAGTGACACAGACAGGAGACAAGTAAGAGAACAGAATCACACAACTGGCTTCCCAGTGACCCGCTGACCTGGGGTAGAGGGCGTTAGAGAGGTCACCCACAGCACAATGCTAGATATACTCACAGTCAGATTTAGTGAGGGTTTGATGCAAGGGGAAACATGATAGGGCAGACATTACATTTCAGCACAAAAGCAACCTATAATAGAGAGCCTTCGTTATACTGCCAATGTGTGTGACAGTAAGGTGGCCACCTACACATTAAATCTGTTTTGGAAGGGCTGTTGGAAAGCGAAAACTGAATTTCGATCAGCAAACAGCTGCTGACTTTGTCACAACAGCAGAATCCAAGAGAGTGTGGGAGAGTGGTGACACTGCCATTCTTCATACCCCAGCCAGCTTGGGACACTAAGCAGTTTTCACTAACAAACACACACAGCAAACCTGCTACCCTCTGATATTTGGCCCACATAGGAGGGATTGCTCATCCTGCCGTACTGTCAGACCCAAATCTGTGTACTAGACCATCATCATCATCATAATCATCATCGTCATAGTCAACATCATCATCACAGAAGACAATGATGAGCTAGGTCTAACTCAATCTAGGTCTACAGGAAATTGGTCTAATGTTGATCCATAGTCATTATCTTACTTTCCTGCAACTCAAAAACACTATGAAACATATGGCAAATTATATTTCCTATCAACTAGCTAACCTCAAGTAGTATAATAACAGTGTAATAATGACATATCTTTTCATCAGATTCTTGATGTCTCTGCTTTGATTACAGGATATGCCTAGGGATATCCACTCACTCATTAAACTCAGTTCCTCTATTTATTAGTTTGAAGAATCACATAAAGTATGAGAGTGATAATGATAGTAGCATGGTAATTCCAACAATATTTCATATGCCAGTCTCAAGTTTAAAGTTTTAATGTCACATGCACAAGTACAGTGAAATGTAGTTCTTGCAAACTCAAAACCCAACAATGCAATAAGCAATAACAATGTAATACTAGAAAAGAAAACACATGAGAAATAAGAAGAAATATGAAGAACACAATAAGTAAGTTAGCATACCATATACAGGGTCAGCTCCAATACCATATTTACAATGTGCAGGGATACTGGAGTGATGGAGGTAGATATGTATACATTTACATTTACATTTTAGTCATTTAGCAGACGCTCTTATCCAGAGCGACTTACAGTTAGTGAATGCATACATAATTGTTTTTTTTCATACTGGCCCCCCGTGGGAAACGAACCCACATCCCGGCCGGCCAAACCCTCCCCTACCTTGGACGATGCTGGACCAATTGTGCGCCGCCCATGGGTATACAGGTAAGGGGACCAGGAACAGGATATACTGTAAGAGTAGCAGCATCTTGTATGTGAGTGGGTGTGCGTGTGTGTAGAGTCAGTATAAATGTATGTGCATATTATGTGTGAGTGAGCAGATGATGGAGTGAGTGTGTTTGTGAGTGTAAAGGGCCCTGTGAGTGTGCATAATAAAAGGTCAATAGGGATACAAGGTTAACTCAGATTGTTAGTGTTAGCTATTTATCAGTCTTATTGCTTGGGGATAGAAGCTGTTCAAGAGCCTGTTGGTGCCAGACTTGATGCTCCGGTACTGCTTGCGATTTTCCGGGCCTTCCTACCACACCGCCTGATATAGATGTTCTGGACGGCATGGAGCTCGGCCCCAGTGATGACCTGGGCTGTCTGCACCACCCTCTGTAGCGCCATGCGATCGAGGGCAGTGCTATTGCCATACCAGGCAGTGATGCAGCCAGTCAAAATGCTCTCAATGGTACAGCTGTAGAACCTTTTGAGGATTTGAGGGCCCATGCCAAACCTTTTCAACCTCCTGAGGGGGTAGAGGCGCTGTTGCGCATTCTTCACGACTGTGCGTGTGCGTTTGGGCGATGTTAAGTCTTTAGTGATTTGAACACCGAGGAACTTGAAGCTCTCGACCTGCTCCACTGCCGCCCTGTCGATGTGGATGGGGGCATGCTCCACTGCTCGCCCCCCCCCCCCATTTCCTGTAGTCCACGATCAGCTCCCTGGTCTTACTGACGTTGAGGAAGAGGTTGTTGTTTTGGCACCACACTGCCAGGTCACTGACCTCCTCCTTTTAGGCTGACTCATCGTCGCCGGTGATCAGGCCTACCACCGTTGTGTCGTCAGCAAACTTGATAATGGTGTTGGAGTTGTGCGTGGCCGCGCAGTCGTGGGTGAACAGGGAGTACAGGAGGGGGACTAAGCACACATCCTCTGGGGTCGGTGACAGCCCTCACACCCGGCACGATGTTGTTGTTGTCAAAGATTGCATAAAATGCATTGAGTTCGTCTGGTAGAGAGGCATGGTTGGGCAGACCCCGATTGGGTCTTCCTTTGTCATCCGTAATGGACTGTAGTCCTTGCCACATGCGGCAGGCATCGGCGCCTGTATAATATGATTCCACCTTATTCCTATATTGTCCTTTTGCTTGTTTGATGACTCTGAAGAGGTCATAGGGGGACTTCTTGGACTTATTCCTGTCCTCGGCTGTAGCATCAGGGTTGTCTACGATAGCTCTGTGTTCGGTAGCCCTGTCCTTTAGTTTAGCGCCAACCTCGGTGTTAATCCAGGGCTTTTGATTGGGGAAATCAATCCCTAGCATACAGCCTTTCCGCTAGCCTGCTAGCATGTGGTTGTGTAGTAGTGGGAGGTAATGCAGTCCTAGGCCCATTCCTTGGCCTAGGCTACAGTAATTAGCTATTTGCACAGTCACATGCACGCACACACACATACGGGCACACTGGGGCTTTGAGCCGCTCAGAGCTGCAGCAACAGCCTCTCACAGCTCTGATGAGCTGCAGTAAAATGGAATCATTCAAAACTTCAGCAGTCAGGCAGCAGATCATCTCAGGTTGTAGAACACAGCATCGCAGGCAGGCAGACGGTATGTGACAAGCTAGCAGAAAAGTCAGTGTCAGAGTGCTTCTCAATCACAGGTCCTATAGCTTAACTAGCTTTGCTAACAAACATCAGAAAGTATTCACACCCCTTAACATTTTCCACATTTTGTTGTGTTACAGCCTGACTTTAAAATTGATTAAATTGAGATTTTGTGTCACTGATCTACACACAATACCCCATAATGTCAAAGTGGAATTATGTTTTTAGAAATGTTTACAAATTAATTAAAAATGAAAAGCTGAAATCAATAAATATTCAACCCTTTAACAAATCACATAACAAGTTGCATGGACTCTTTCTGTGTACAATAATAGTGGTTAACATGATTGTTGAATGACTTCCCCATCTCTGTACCCCACACATACAATTATCTGTAAGATCCCTCAATTAAGTAGTGAATTTCAAGCACATATTCAACCACAAAGTCCAGGGAGGTTTTTCAAAGACCCGCAAAGAAGGGCACCGATTGGTACACTAAGTGACCAAAAGTATGTGGACACCTGCTTGTCGAACATCTCATTCAGAATCATGGGCATTAATATGGAGTTGGTCCCCCCTTTGTGCTATAACAGCCTCCACTCTTCTGGGAAGGCTTTCCACTAGATGTTGGAACACTGCTGCGGGGACATGCTTCCAATCAGCCACTTAGACAATTAGTGAGGTCGGGCACTGATGTTGGGCGATTAGGGCTGGCTCGCAGTCGTCGTTCCAATTCATCCCAAAGGTGTTCGATGGGGTTGAGGTCAGGGCTCTGTGCAGGCCAGTCAAGTTCTTCCACACAGATCTCGACAAACCATTTCTGTATGGACCTCGCTTTGTGCACGGAGGCATTGTCATGTTGAAACAGGAAAGGGCCTTCCCCAAACTGTTGCCACAAAGTTGGAAGCACAGAATCATCTACAATGTAATTGTATGCTGTAGCATTAAGATTTCCCTTCACTGGAACTAAGGGGCCTAGCCCAAACCATGAAAAACAGCCCCAGACCTTGATTCCTCCTCCACCAACTTACACTTGGCACTTTGCATTCAGGCAGGTAGCGTTCTCCTGGCATCCGCCAAACCCAGATTTGTCTGTCGAACTGCCAGATGGTGAAGCGTGATTCATCACTCCAGAGAACACGTTTCCACTGCTCCAGAGTCCAATGGCAGAGAGCCTTACACCACTCCAGCCGACACTTGGCATTGCGCATGGTGATCTTAGGCTTGTGTGCGGCAGCTCGGCCATGGAAACCCATTTCATGAAGAACAGTTATTGTGATGACATTGCTTCCATAGGCAGTTTGGAACTCGGTAGTGAGTGTTACAACCGAGGACAGATGATTTTTACGCGCTTCAGCACTCGGCGGTCCCGTTTTGTGAGCTTGTGTGGCCTACCACGTCACGGCTGAGCCGTTGTTGCTCCTAGAAGTTTCCACTTCACTATAACAGCACATACAGTTGACCGGGGCAGCTCTAGCAGGGCAGAAATTTGACAAACGGACTTGTTGGATAGGTGGCATCCTATGACGGTGCCACGTTGAAAGTCACTGCAGTAAGGCCATTCTACTGCCAATGTTTGTTTATGGAGATTGCATGGTTGTGTGCTCGATGTTATACACCTGTCAGCAACAGAATTAACTCATTTTAAAGGGTGTCCACATATTTCTGTATATATAGCGTAGATGTGTAAAAATGAAAAAGGCAGACACTGAATCTCCCTTTGAGCATGGTGAAGTTATTAATTAGGCTTTGGATGGTGTATCAATACACCCAGTCACTACAAAGATACAGGCATCCTTCCTAACTCAGTTGCCGGAAAGGAAAGAAACTGCTCAGGGATTTCACCATGAGGCCAATGGTGATTTTAAAACATTTACAGAGTTTAATAGTTGTGATATGAGAAAACTGAGGAAGGATCAACAATATTGTAGTTACTCCACAATACGACCCTAAATGACAGAGTGAAAAGAAGAAAGCATGTACAGAATAAAAATATTCCAAAACATGCATCCTGTTTGCAACAAGGCACTTAAGAAATTAACTTTTTGTCCTGAATACAAATCGTTATGTTTGTGGCAAATCCAACACAACACATCACTGAGTACCACTCTTCAAATTTTCAAGCATGGCAGTGGCTGCATCATGTTATGGGTATGCTTGTCATCGGCAAGGACTATGGAGTTTTTTTGTTTGTTGGATAAATAGAAACAGAATACAACTAAGCATAGGCAAAATCCTAGAGGAAAACCTGGTTCAGTCTGCTTTCCAATAGACACTGGGAGAAAAATTCACCTTTCAGCAGGAAAATAACCTATAACACAAGGCCAAATCTAGACTGGAATTGCTTACCAAGATGACATTGAATGTTCCTGAGTGGCCTAGTTACAGTTTTGACTTAAATTGTCTTCAAAATCTATGGCAAGACTTGAAAATGGCTTTCTAGCAATGATCAACAACCAACTTGACAGATTGAAGAATTTAAAAAAGAATAATGGGCAAATATTGTACAATCGAGGTGTGCAAAGACTTACCCAAAAAGACTATCTGCCAAATGTGTTTCTAATATGTATTGACTCAGGGGGATGAATACTTATAGATATATTAGTGTTTTATACTTCATTTTATTAAAAAAAAATGTTAGAATTGTTTTACCACTTTGACATTACAGAGTATTTTGTGAAGATCATTGACCAAAAATGACATCTAAATCCATTTGAATCCCATTTTAACACAACAAACTGTGGAAAAAGTCAAGGGGAGTGAATACTTTCTAAAGGCACTGTATGTGTTTTTGGCTCTCTGGGTTGGCATGCTAGCCAAGCTAGCTCCTGTAGCTCACTGTCAACATTTTATTTTAATTTGGGGTTAGCTAGTATAGATAGCCTAGCCAGCTACGATAGCTTCACTTGCTGTCAACAATCTAATGGATTTTGTCAGATCAATAAGTATGCACTTTATTATCTATCAGGGCACTGGATGATCTAGTCAATATCTTAATCAGTGACTATCTGCCCTGACAACTGACCTCTCTGTCTGTTAGCAACCTGCCTCGTCTTCCTGTTGTTAACAACCTCTTACTGTTACGCTGTGTTCAGAGGTCTAGTTGTCATGACTACATCATCACAGGATCATCACAGGATGACACACATACCTAATGAAGGATGTTACCCTGTAGCTGTAGCAGTAGTTCAGGACCACAGTAGGAGACCACTGACTTCATTCACACTTCACATTGAATATTTCTTGTCCTCATTTTCATATTTTTAGCTTAATCATCATACAATATACGCCTGCTTGGTGTTGTTACATTCCCAATCAAATCGACCAAATTCTAGTATCTTTCCCAAAATGTCTAGGAATATTCCTGGAATCAGAAGGAATTAGCAGAATATCCAGAATTCTCCAACCAGGATATCTGTAAATCCTGGGAATTAGGGGAAAATTACCGGAATTTGCAACCCGAAACATACAGAGACCGATCCAGTGGTTTACTCACCACTGTAGGTGATGATCCTGATGGTGGAGTCCCCCTCTCCGAAGCGTGTGATGGGGGTGAGGCGCACCTCGTAGGCTGCAGGCTTGATGAGCTCTGTCAGGTTGTGTGTGATCAGCTCTCCCTTGGTGATGGTTCCATCCACGGGGATCTCCTGCTCCCACCACCGCTGGAGCCCCGTCTGGATGGGAGGACACATTACAACAGAGTTAGAATTAGTGGAACGAACACACACACATGCATGAATCCAGGGGCATGCATACACGCACACGCACACGCACACGCACACACACACACACACACACACACACACACACACACACACACACACACACACACACACACACACACACACACACACAGTTCAAAGAACACTATGAGTCTCCCACATTCCGGTGATTCAAACCAGTGTTGCCTTCATAAACAGAGAAGAACAGTGAGTACAGGTTGAATCAGATTGAATTGGAATGAGTGTCCTGAATGTAGTCTATAAAGCTCTACAAGGAAGGGGGCATGACCAGTAGTGATGCATTCTCAAGACTTCATGCCTTTCCCTTCTCATCCTTATCAACAGCCTCTCATCAAACATGGTCATCTTTGAAGTTTCCCTCTAACCACAGTCCACATGTTTCTCTATCCATCCCATCACACAGACCGGGCCGCTATCTTAAAAGAGACTAACCGTAAACAGAATTTTCCATCACATCTTTATATGTTGCTCTCCCGTGAACCTGCTTTCAGGTGATGATCTAATTTAAGTCATCATCACACGGTCACTGCTATTCTTGCCTGGTGATACAATGGCAAAGTGGCTTTGAACCAGTGTGGAATTCAAAGAAGCAAAGTGATGCATTCCACATTCATTGGGAACCATCAAAGGGCTTGAACATGAGAGAGAACAAGGAAAAAGAGGGGTGTATTTTCTCCTAGAGGATCAGTTAGGATAGCAGAGACCTGGAAAAGAGAATGGTAACAGCTTTTGCATCACAAATAGTCACCATATGCCATTGTGAATGAATGTTGCCAGGATAGAGAGAAAGGGAGAGTGAGACGAGAGAGAGAGAGAGAGAGAGAGAGAAGAGAGAGAGAGAGAGAGAGAGAGAGAGAGAGACTAGAGATAGATATAGCGATAGAGAGAGATAGAGAGAGAGGCTACTATCTCTAGACTGCGCTCGCTAGAGATCTCTCGATCCTCTCGCTCGACTCGGAGCGAGCTCAGAGAGCTCCTCCTCCCTCTGATAGATCTCTCTCTATAGCTCCGAGGAGAGAGCGAAGCGATGGATGAGTTTGTAAGGATGCGCTGTGTGTGTGTGTGTGTTCATGTGTGTGCATTTGTGGGTGTGTTTGGTAGGCCAGAGCCAATTAAGTAATTAACCAGTGTGTGTCTGCTCTGTAATTACCAAGTAAGAGTTAGGTTCACAGGTAAATAGCTCTGGTTTTGTCTGTTATTTATAATTGTAGACAGGCTGTAACAGTTTGCCCCAACCCTTTTAATTTCCACTGTACCACAGAGTCCAAAAGGCACCTCTGCTAATTGGCATGAATTGGAAGGGTTCGGAGATGAGTCTGATGAAGTGTGTGTGTGTGTGTGTGTGTGTGCATGAATGTGCGTCGCTGTGTATATGTGCATATGAGTGCATGTGAGTATCCATGCATGTGTGTGTGTGAATGATTAAGTGTGTACAATGCTGTTAGGGGCAGATGGAGGCCTTAAATGCCAATCCTGGCTCCAGAACCACTTCGCCTAAAACTCTGACTGAACAAATGGAAGCTGATGACTCCATCTTTCCGTCATCAGGGAACAGAATAGTCTTTTAAATAGTTAATTAAATCTATAATTGCTATCTACAGAAGCCTTTTACTATTTTAATGTGATTTGCAACAGTGCATCTCTGTTCGACTTCTTTAGGTTTGGTGCTTCTGTTTTATTCTCCCATTAATGTTTGTTTGACTTGATGCAATTATCATTTTCTGCGTGTATCTCATTACCTTTCACTCGTAGTGTTTCTTCACAGGGAGTCAGACAGAGGCAGAGTGCCCTATCACATTTAAATTCACTTGACTGCAGCAACAGTTTGAGGGATTTTTATGGTACCTTTAAGAACCAGAGAAGTTGATCAAATGGAAGGGAGCATAGTGAAACATAGGACTAATCAAAATGGCTTTCAACATTAGGAGAGAGAGAGAGAGAGAGAGAGGGGGGAGACAGATTGGCTGCATGTAATTAGTCTGCTGCTATTGATCTGTGCTGCTCTTCGCCCCGCTCACTGATCCAACACTGACTGACAGATCAATTGACTGAGGAGGAGGAGGCGAGAGAGAGACAGAAAGAGAAGAGTAAGAAGGATAAGGCTGTCATTGCTTCCTCCTCCTCCCTCCCTCCCTCTCACTCTCCCTCTCTCTCTCGTTCCCTCTCTCCTCCTTACTCATTCATGTCCCATTGCTTTCTCAATCGCAAAGAGCGATGAAAACAGAACGCTCATTGTGGAAGTGGAAAAGAAAAAGGGTTCAATCATTTCTTGGCAGATTAAACATGAAGAGGCTCACCTTAAAGGTAAATGTTACCGATAGGCTCCCTCTTAACTCCCCTAAAGCATAACACCTCCTGTATCTAAGACAACAGCAGGTAGGGAGGCCCGGGATACACAGCCTAGTTGAGATGCACTTCACTACCTTGAGGTAGCCATGGGAGGAAAAAAAGTGGAAAGAAAATGAATTCCCGCAAACAATGATTTTCTGCTTGCCAGGTAGGAGATAAAAAAACAAAAGCAAGAGTGAGCAAACAGGCAGGACTATTTCCTTGCCTTTTCTTTTTCTCTCCAAACAACAGCAGAAGAGATTGTAATGTTAATGTGATTGCTGAATTATTGTGGGCCCAATTTAGCACCAGCGCAGAATTAATCTGTGAAACTGTGAAAAGGACCAGTTGAATTCCAGCGAAGGGAGAGTAAATGTGTCTTCCTGGCAAGGTCTCAAAAACCAGCCTGCCTGGAAGCAGGAAGCCGGCGTACCACGGCGAATGAACGAATCACGTGAATGCAACCAAATGTATTATCAAACAGGCCGAATGAGATCGTTGACAGATAAATCCTTGCGGTACACAAACAAGCCCGGTTTTAATGGGTTTTTCAAGCGTAAATTCAGGACGGGGTGTAGTAGGAAACAAATATGGAATTATACTATTTATCGGAAAAACTGATTAGAACTACAACTATTAGACTCTGTATTAGACTCACTCAGTTTGGGCAGAAATGTGAGGACGTCAGTTCAGAAGGCTTAACTGTCGCCTGTAATGCAGTGGTTCTGAATAAGAGCTTACACTTAACCAATAAAGGTTAACAAATACAATAGCATACAGCCCTGAAATCAATCTATAAATATTTCCCTGTAATCGTTGTGGTTATTGCGATCAAGGCTGCCATGATCAACATTCTCAGACCGTCAACAGACAGACAGGCCCATGCAGAGACCTACAGTAGCGTACATTTCTACATTATATTTCTGTATGTTCTGAAAGTCAATGCCTGCTGTGACCAAAGGGAGGGTGCCACATTGTCACAGTAGGGGGTTATGGGTACAACGAAAGAGACCACATAAAGTGGCATCAAGCCTCAGCTTAATGACGCTACCAACATGTTAATGTAATACAATTGGGTGACGAAACAGTTGCTGTTGAAAAAGCTAGATGGGGGACTATTGTCTTTCACTATAATGTAGGAAGTGTCAGACAGTGAGAAAAGAGAGAAAAAGAGAGAGGAGGGATCACTACTCCCAAGTGGCGCAGTGGTCTAAGGCACTGCATCGCAGTGCTAGCTGTGCCACTAGAGATCCTGGTTCGAATCCAGGCTCTATCGTAGCCGGCCGTGACCGGGAGACCCATGGGGTGGCGCACAATTGGCCCAGCGTCGTCCAGGGTAGGGGAGGGAATGGCCTGCAGGGATGTAGCTCAGTTGGTAGAGCATGGCGTTTGCAACGCCAGGGTTGTGGGTTCGATTCCCACGGGGGGCCAGTATGAAAAATATATATAAAAAATAATAATGTATGCACTCACTAACTGTAAGTCGCTCTGGATAAGAGTGTCTGCTAAATGACTAAAATGTAAATGGATCAGCGGTAGAGGGAAGGAGAGAGAGATTGACATTCTTAAAGTAGCCTAGGCAAACCATAAATCAATGCTGACTGCCTGTCATCTGAAGCCTTTCCTTCATCTGCAGGTAAAAAGGACCAATGGCTGCCACTCCTTTCTCCACATGTTTTCTCTCTCCACTGGGCCGATGGAGCAGTCCACGTGAACAATAACAAGCAAGCAATGCATAGAATATGGGTTGGGAATATCTACAGAGCCTCTAAGTCCCTGACTGGTTATTCTGATATTCCCTCTATCATGTCACTTTTCTGTCATATGTAAGGCCTTTTTACATCCAGGTTTAGGGTTAGAGTGCACACCCACATAATAATAATAATATGCCATTTAGCAGACGCTTTTAGTCAAAGCGACTTACAGTCATGTGCGCATACATTTTTACGTATGGGTGGTCCTGGGGATCGAACCCTCTACCCTGGCGTTACAAGCGCCATGCTCTACCAATTGAGCTACAGAGGACCACGCATGCACACACCTACCTGTCGTATGCCGAGGCGGTAGGCCACAATGCGGTCCACAGCGTTGGGGTTCATCTGGGTCCATTGCAGTTTGAAGCCGTAGACTGTAGGCCGGTTCTGCCACAGAGGACTGTACGTGTCGTAGTAGAACTCTGGGGGATATGCCTTCCCTGTAAACAAAAACCAACATTTAGGACTAATTCATCTTTGTTTTTGCAACTTCCATTTTTGTTCAGCTTTACATGTGGCATCAAGGTAGTAAGGGAACCAAGCCATATGTATCAGAGATACTGGATCAAGATAAATAAGAGGGTCACATGTGAATTGAAGTACAGGTTACCAAAATGCAAACATGTCATGTTGAGTATTTTTCCACAAAATGACTGCAAGGCATCAACCAGAAGAGTTGCCTCCAGTAACGCTGCACTTTGCCTGTATTTACCACAGTTTGATGAGTCAAGGGTGTGAGATCTTTTGTACAGAAGTCTGTAATCTTTCTCAGGTATCTTGTCAATAAAGCTGTTTGATTTGATCGCCAGCCACATGGTCAGCTGTGTTATTGTCAGGACAGAAAAGTACTGTGTGTTCAGTAAGGTGTTCTAAAGTGGGCTGCTTGACATATTCAATATTTACAGAAGAGACGGAGAGCCAACAAAAAAATTGATTTCTCACAGGTCAAAGTAAACACACTAATACTAAAAAACAGCATTCAAGTGGAGATTCTCTGAAGACAGTCAAACATTCTTCTCCCTGAGACCACACAGGAAGCGGTTCATACAGTCGTACCTGTTGAAATTCAGTCTACTGAAGCGCACCAAAGAAGGGGAGGATTTCTAATAGCGATAGTCGAGACAGAGGCTAACGCTTACTCAAATAAAGCGATGCAGTGATCTGACAATATGAAGTTGAGACAGAGCAACTAGCTGAACTCTCCAGCAGCAAAGTCTATTAGAGCTGTCATGGTGGTTTATGTCATCAATGACTTATTAAGACTCTCTATGCAGACTCCCAGACACATTTAATGATCCCCAGAGTTAAGAGTTTAGCCCCGCAGGCTGGGGAGGGTCAATCTATCAGTACTCAGTCTGAAGAGTGTGAACCAATCAGTGGAGTTTATCCCCACAGGCTGGGAAGACCGCAGCTCCATCAGGTGTCTGCCTTCCAGAAGGGCCAACATAGTGGAAATGACTAAGGGACTGGGTCACTTATTTAAACAGAACAACAGGGTAAAAAGTTCACTGGGCAAATTTCTGGCTCTAAGACTAGTGTTAGGAACATAAGCATTTCACTACACCCACGATAACATCTGCACAATACAGCATGTGCACTCGATCAATATAATTTGACTTGATTTGTTGTCTTCTTCTGCATTCAACCCTTTCGATTTGGTTCAAATGAGCGAAACTATTGTTTGAATTCGTTTTGAATTAGATTTATTCGACCAAGGAAGTGTATGGAAATGCTGTTCACCAGTCACGTAACAGTCAAGATAACTTTATCTGCAATAGACATGGTTTAAAAGTGCATAATCCTTTTAAAAGTCTGGATATGAATAATTCAATTCTTTGCATGTTTAATTGCAAAACTCCTATTACAATATTAATGCCTGTGAAAAGGACAGTGGATGAGAGGAAATTGAAATGTTTAGGATGATCATAGAAACCTGATCTGAAGCTTGAACACAATGACTGCATACAGTACCATTTTTTTTTAACAAAGTCAATGAGAACTTGTTGAGTATATTCAACTTTTTTTTAACCTTTATTTTAGCAGGAAGCCCCATTGAGACCAAGGTCTCTTTTGCAAGGGAGCCCTATAACATAACTCAACAAATCTGCTTTAGCATCCAATCAATAAATTCAGAGGTTAAGCCTTCCACTTTTACAATCAATCAATTTAGATTGTGAAGATAGGACTTCTAAAACCCATCAACAAAATACTGATAAAAAGGATATATACTGCTTTGGGCGCAATAGACAATAAATCAGGTTAATGAAGCTTTGCATTTGTTTGGACAGCCAAGTAGAGATCACAAGCCTATACATGGATAAAGCTGTTTAAAATACAATATTCTAATCCATACAAAAAGACTAGTTCATTCATCAACAAGATAAAATAATTTCCGTAGAACAAGAGAATGAAATCCAATGGGGCTAGAGCGGAACAATATTTTGGGGAATGTGTTTTGGTATCTTTTCCATAACAACCTGTTTGGAAACAGGAAGTGTAAACTAATGGATTTAAATGTGCTATTTATCATGCTCTTTGTATCACAGTTTAGAATTCGTTTTTTTGTGACATTTAAAAAATAATCCAGTCAACCATGTTTTCACAATTCATGAGACACAAAAACAATTCATGGATTCCTAACCATCTCTTCTGTTCAGGGAAGTATATGCCATTTTGAGAATGTATTCCCAAAATTAGCTTGCAATTCTATAGTAGTCATCTTTCCAGTAAACACAATTGTAGAGAAAATATAAAGAACTGAATACAACACGATTATACCTGGCAGTTGTGAGCTGAGCCCATGCTGGGAAATGTTACAGAAACTCCCAGGGACAAGTCACTCTCTTTGTCACTCTCTTTGTCACTCTCTCTCTCTCTCTTGTCTCGCCAATTGAATTCCTCTGTTATTTATTCCATGTTTTGTAGACATGGGACTTTCAAAGGTCATACACTTGTCACAGAAAACCACTCCTGAAAGGACATCCTGTATATTAATGTAATATAAAAAGTCAGCGTTGCTCTGAGGGTCGAAAAACCTGTTTCTGTACAGGTTGTTGGGAAGAAAACAATAGCCCTTCTCCATCTCCCCATGTTGCTTTCGCTCTCTATATTTCTCTCTCTCTCTTTCTCTTGCTACCTCTACATCTCTCTCTCTCTCTACAATTGAAACAGACTGGAGCACGGAGCGACCAACCACAAAGCAAGCGAAGTCAAGCAACACAAATGACGCAAAACCAAAGTATTGTAATTACTAGAGGTCTATTTAGCTTTCAAAAGACGATTTACATTACATGCATGACTGGTATGTAATGAATGCAAGCGTTTTCCCAAAGTCCATAATTTGGAGTGCATTATCAAGCTACTACATGAAGGAACACTGTAGTAAACAATGGACTACTACAACAAGCTACAAATCGCTTATACCTACCTGTCACCACCACTACCCATTTGATTTAAATGTATTATAAACATAGTCTTTACCCCCCTCTCATAGACAGAGATGTAGGATGTATTGTAGCTGAGGCTTCACATAAACACGCAACTGCTCCAGTCACAAGGGTCATATAGCAGCTGGACATATGCTAATGACCACGTAAAATGAATAATAATTTGTCTGTATGAGTAAAACGATGAATTTAGTTTTTATGCCAATTGGTATAAAATGTATTTCAATATACATTGAAACCAAAAGAAGAAGAAAAAAGGGACAAAACTAAATTGTGTTAAACGCAACCTTCAGCAATGCATGAGATACAAAAGGCTGCTTTGGAGGGAAATCCTCCCAGTGTTTGCACTGGTGGCAACAAATACCCAATGACAGATGTGTTTTCCAGTGGCTTAACTGTACCCTATACTCAGTTTGGAGAGGGGTTCAAAGAACACAGTTGCTCAAAGAAACGCATACAAATCTGTTTCCCCTCATGATGCTCAAACTGTGCTCCCCAAACATCACAGTGCTTTTGTCTAACAAATATGTCTAGACAGCAAACATTACAATGTTCCAGTCTGGCTTCTGATTACCAAGGGAAATGTGTGCTATAGAGATGGATGTATTATTAATATCAACTGAGCTATGGTTACACTTTCACAATTGCTATAATAACGGTTGGCTTGGTTTGGAGTAAAGACATATTTAGCTTAAATTTCACTATTTTTTGACATATAATAATGACACTATGCTGCTTATACATAAGCCTATCAGGCTATCATAAAGGATTACACGTCACATGACTATATATAACCTGTACAGTATGCTCCTGTCCTTCAGGGCTGACAGATTCCTATATAACTGATCGATAGATAACACTATTCATATGCTCCCTGTTGGTTTCTGCAGCACATCATGTCACTCATCATTGGCTATCCATCACTGTCAGACAGCTACACACAAAAAAATAATGGTTCTAGTATAGTACCAGATAGGGGTTCTTTGGCTTGTAACAATAGCGGAACACTTTTTGGTTCTATGTAGAACACTTTTTTGAAGGTTCTACAGATGTAGGATCTTAATTTGATCACTCGTTTGTTGCTGAGAATGTTCCTGCACAGCAGGATATCCAAACTTGTAGTGTATTCGAGGTTGTCCAAGGCGGTCCCGCTTTAAATGGCGTTCAGCTTATAAAGGCTTCATAAAGCCTTCACAATGCCTTCATAAGCACTACATAAATGTGTTACAAAGCATCTATAACCATATGTCATGCATTATAAAGGGTTCATAAATGTGGCATAACTGTGTGACATAATCACCCATGTCAAATGTGACATAACCCACTATGTCGAATATGATATGAACATGTGCTTTATAAAGGGTGACATGTTGTGCTGAAGGATGGCACACGCTTTTAAGTGAAGTCATGTTAGTCACATTACATCTAATCTCGCCGAAGGTCTGGTGGACCAACCATCAAACTTGGCCTTCATTAGTTAGGGTTAGGTTTAAAATAATTTTAAGAAGATAAATTGTAGAAATGGGCAGCGTTTAGACATAATTATGTCTGTTAGGAAATGCCTTTGTCACACCATCTGGATAAGGCCAACTCCATTCAATTCATATTATTATATTCTCTTTCATTTACAAATCTCATGACGTGCCTATGAGACGTGGCTGTATCAGGGTGATTTTTATTTAGCTGAGCCTGGTAGCTAGCTAGCTAGCTAGTTAGCAATTGCTGTGAAGTCACAGAAATTATTTGAAATAACTATATAATCTAACTCAACACTTAACTACTACAAATACATTTTTATTTTAATAAATACAGGTTCACTTACTCATTTTTTTGCAGTCTAGTGGCACCACAAGTGTGCATTTGATTTGCGAACTCATCACATGTGCACTTACTGCGCTACAGAAACATCAAACACAGCTAATCAAACAAGAGTGCAAGGCATGCACACTGAATTAAAGGGCAACTACACTCAAAAATGTAATTTTCCTAGATTTTTCACAGAACTCAAAAGTCATCCCCTGATGTAGTTTAAGCATTGTTGTGAACACAGAAAATCAAATGTTGTTGTTTTTCTATTAAAAAAGTGTGAAAAACTGGGGGAAAACCCCAAAACATTGGGCGAAATATGAAACCTGGAATAACAAAAAAACGGAGAAAACAGAACTAGGTAAAAACGGTAAAAAAAAAAAGATTTTAAAAGGCCCTACCATGACTGCACTTTAGAGTGTGTGTCATCCTGCAGCACAGCATTTTGAGGAAAGTTGAGGTCAGGTCCAATACTGACTATAAATGTTTTAGAGCAGTGGTGACCTGTCATTCAGGGCATTGAGCCCCACCTGTTTATCAAAGTATAATAATACAAAAAGAAGTTGGCCTGTTTTGCAGGTTATTTTGGCATTAATTCGTGTTACATATCAGTTTGCAAACAATATATATATAAAAAAAAAAAAAAAGTTAATAAAGCCGCATACAAACATGGTCTCTTTCTTGAGTAATGCAGCTCCAAAATGCAGGTGTTTCAGCCTAGTTCAGTGCTTTCTGTGGTGGAGGGGCAGCCAGCGAAAGCACAGAGCGTAGGCGTTGGTAGTCTTCTCTAGTTGCACCGGGATTGGCTCAGTGTTCTGTCACTCATGGGGACACTACGTCACTGCATAATCTACAGGGAGAGCTAGGCAGTTCAAGCCCCCTTGGGTGCTGCCATAGATTTACATTAGAAGTGCCCGTCCAAGAAGGCTCAAGGTCATTGGCCACAGATAAAATGACGTCAAATCACGTTATATCTACCGTAGCTTTCATTGGAATGATCATGTTGACATCATACTTTCAAAATCTTAGCTAGCAAGCTAGCTATCTAGATAAGCAGAATCACATGGACAATCTACTGGCAAATCCTTTTCAATCCTTATAGATAAAACGTATCGGTGCTCATCGGACATTGGACATAAACATTACACAACAAGTCGTAAATCGCAAACTCAACAATGAGTGGTTTGGAAGGAAT